CTGTCAGCTGGCCTGTGTGTGGCTCACATTTTCCTGTAAAGCGAACAAAACCAAACCAATGAGCATCAGCCGCTGACCTCTGTGACGTCACCACCGCAACCACATGCGGAAGAGAAACTTGTCGGCAGGAAAATAATGGAAGAAATCTGGAACAACAACTCGGCCGTGGCTCCTCTGAGTGCGGAGGACTGCGTCATCTGCCTGGACAGGATTAGGGAGAAGAAAACGCTCAAGTGCCTTCATTCTTTTTGCTCCGAGTGTATCGAGTCGGTGTTCCGGTTGAAGCCCGCCTGTCCCATATGCAACACCTACCACGGAGTGTACACGGGGACCCAGCCGGAGGGACAGATGCTGGTGACCAGCAGCTGGCAAAGCCTGCCGGGCTTTGAGGGCTGCGGATCTATTGTCATACAGTACAGCTTCCCAGCAGGGATACAAGGGGTGAGACCAGCTGAAGTACATGATATCAGAGGATTGTGTCAGGAGTGTGCTGCGTGTTTCCTCTGCGTGTAGGCGGATGTGTGTCCACCAGGGGCCGCTGTTGTCTGTTTTAAATCCTGCCCTGCCTGTTGACGACTAATGACAATGACACTAAAAACACGTGGGTTAGGTGTAATAAAAACGTCTGCCAGTCCAGCTAGGCATCAATAATGCTGCTATTATCAATAATAATAATATAGGGTGACCATATTTTGATTACACATAATAATTATTTTATCAACTTAATTTACTGTATTTTCTATCTTGTTGGGATTTGATGCTTTCTTTTTTCCTGCTGTAAGAAAATGTTTTTTCTCAGAGGTTACTCAACATATAACTCAACAAATAACGAATGAAATAATGATAGAAATAATGTCTCTTCTGTACAAATAAAATAAAATACCTCTGCTATATTACCAATCCAGCTTTAATGCACAAAGAAATTACTAAGCACAATGATGATGTGGGTACTATTTGGAAATGTCCAGTAGTGCAACATATAACAATGTGCATACATTATACTGCTGGTTTATTATAGGGTGACCATATTTTGATTGCCAAAAACCAGGACACTCGTCCCGGCAATGAGACACTCAAATGATACTCGAAGTTTACTCAAAGACGCCTTATAATTTCAATACATTTAAAGTCTGCCTCCTGTGTGGATAGAAAATCGTTATATTATCAAATACTATCAATAACCAAAGACACAAATTCAGATAGGCTCCTCAGAGGTTATTTAACATATAGCTCAACAAATAACGAATGATATAATGATAGAAATAATGTCTCTTCTGTACAAATAAAATCAAATACCTCTGCTATATTAGCAATCCAACTTTTAAAAAAATAGCTCTCACAAACTTAAAAAAAAACTAATAAAAAATATCTTCAGTTTTTTTTCTTCTTCATCCTTGTTTTCCTCTTCAACCCATTTTTCTTCCTCATATTTGCCCATCATCTATATTTTGCTATTCAGCTGATCTCTCCCAGTAGTTTTTTTGTTGCTTAACAAATAAGCATGAAAGTCTTTGCAAGAAGTGTCTTTGAAGCCATATTGCACAAATAGAATCCCTTTCAATGACTCTACAGAGAGCTGGTTCCTCTCCTTTGTCCACTGAATCTGCATCAGTGAGAAAAGCCTCTCAACATTTGCATTGTGAGAGCGAAGTGCAAAGACAAACTGTGCAATCTTCAGTAGTTCTGAGTAGCATGCAATACTTTTGGCCTTCTCAAAGCATTTGGTCCACTTCTGGTGCCCCTGCACGCCAATGACGTCAAAAAACTGAAATCAAAATATGGTCAC